AGGATTAGAGTGTGTGTCAAGCCTTAAGAGAAAGGCTTGTCCTTTGCTACAGTGAATAGTACAAAAGGACTATTCATGAGCAGATATCCTCACCTAAAGTTGGTGGGCAATAGAGTCGACTAGTCGACTTCGTACCGTACTAACTATTAGAAAGGGTATGGTTTTGTCCTTTGTATGTATAAGGACAAGACAACAACATTCGTGCTTGGCAAGCTTCCTTTGATCGCTGAATGCTGGAATGACATGGAAGTCTCTTCAGCATTCGCTTAGGCTTGAGCAGTTTTTACACATGTGTAGACAGGCTTGTAATCACTGAGTACCGCTTCAGATCACGTACTTGCCAGTCTCTAATCTTCAGTTTCAGTCTTCGACATTAGCTGAAGATTCTTTGGTGTGAGTGTTATCTTCTTGAAGTATCGTTGTCGCTGATTGAATTACAATACAAGTTCTTCAGCGATCACTGAACAGGTTCAGTGAAGATCGCTGGAACTAAAAAGACAGAAACATAAAATACTTCGTATAAGTTTGTAAGAAATTATCATCAAATCACTGAGAAAAAGGATCAACAGAACCGTTATCGGATAATAAATTATGGTCGTGGTTAAATCCACGGAGATAATTGTTGTATTGTGCTCACACCCCTTTCCTCACTTATGCCTAAACGGAATGATCATCCTTTGGGAACAACGCGTCCTCGTGATGCGGTTTGGTCTTCGGACCCTTGACATGCTTTCGGGGCATTTTGACTTTCTTTTGAATTAGCACTTGGCTTTACAAATTGCTTTTAAACTTGTTATCTCTTATTCATTGTTTATTTATATCATTATCCGTTCACTGAGCATTAAGCTCAGCAGAGATTTTCTTGTCCTCCGCAGGTGCATGACTTAGCAGGGATTTTGGGGTGAGAGCTACGGAGATGACAATACTGAAGATAAACCATTAAGTCATATTTTTGCTAACTGTTTGATGACTAATGTAGATATACTGGTATTTTAGGGTCGTATTTTGAGACACGTTATCTCCGTCTGTGGTTATGTAATTATCTTTTGGTAAACTTTATTAGCTGCTCTGTTTTATATAATGCATTGTTTTTTTTAAACCAATTGTGGCATCTCCCGTCTTTAACCACGCAGGACGAGGGTGTTACACAAGAGATTTGGTAAGATCTTTCAATTTTAATTGGATCTCGGCTTTAGACACCTCTATTTGGGAATAAATTCTCCAGGACATCACTTTATCCAATGCTCAGTGTCCTCCATATTTAGAATTTTGGTTGAACTACTCTTTAGCTGCTTGATATACTCATCTCAATGTAGCTGCTTTACTTTTACGTGAGCAATGTTCCTGATGGTGACATGACATGTTCCTTTGGACAACACCACTTATTCTTGTTCATTTACTTAAGATTTTTCTGGACAGCTTAACGAGACTCATAGATACTTTCTAGACTTAAAAGACAACTCTGAATTTCCCTTACTCAGAGTTAAGTCCAAAGTTATTTTCCATCTTAACAACAGAACTCGGAATTCTTGTGCTTCAAAGTTAATGTTCAGAGTTTTCTTTTAGACCTGAGGAAAAGTCCCAACTCATTTTCCTCATTTAAAATACCCCGTATAATACATGGGTTCAAACCTAATGTGTGTGTGTGTGTATATATATATATATATATATCACAAATAAATTATTGAACTATTATATAATGAACAAGATCAAAGTTGATTTGAGATTTTGATTTTGACTAAATAATCTTTTTCATATAATTCATTGTAGGAGGTTTTGTTTCCTCCAAAACCCTTCAACATCGGTTGTAGTAACTATGGGAAAAAATATCTTATTTTGTTTGGCTTTTTTAATCTCAAATTCATGGTACAATAGTGATTTGAATTGATCCATGACACGAGTAATCTGCAAAAGCAATAAAACATGAACCTATATTGACAACGTCTTTTGATGATGTAAAAACGGAACTAAAGGTGGTACACATTAAGCTTTGAATTTAGCGATACCGAAATTTTGACAAGGTCTTTATATTTTTCAAAAAATATCAAATATAATAACAAAAAAGTGATTATGAAAAGATGGTCTAAGTTATCGAACAGTCATTTTTTTGATAAAAATGAGTCTATGATTTGTCTAATTTACTATCTGAGGCTGAGCAATTATCAACGTTTGACCAGTATGTGATAAAATCCTTCGCATTCTAATGACCAACTGAGGTCCTTGAATGCTACTAGATATTTTCCATATGTGAGGAGATTTTTCAAAGCTGACTTAGCAGCCGAGACTAGCGGAAGGGCTTAAGCCCGTTTATCGTAGGATTCGAACTTGAGCAAAATCGCTCCATCCCTTTATCAACTCACTACACGTCTAAAGACTTTTCATCACAATAAATATTAACACCTTGCTCACCCGAATGTAGATGTTTATCTACTGGAATTACTATTCTCACAAGGGCAACTTTACACGGCGTTGTCCAGAGGGATATCACGGGGCAATACAAAGGTGTTAGTGAAGCCTGTGAGAAAAAAAAACAATTGTGCTTGAGTCTGCACCTCAAACATCGTCTATCAAGAAGTTTTACGTGATGAATAAGGTATAATCAACAATTATTTTATTACACATTTGGTACCATATGTTTCTATTAAAATCATTGCGCCGTTTTTATAAGAAATATTTACAGATGAGTGCATCACAAAAACTAAACAATAATTTGGATATACGGATGAACATTATTTACAAACAATTGTATTTCTTTGTTCAATCAAGAATTTCAATTTTTTTATAATGAGTTCTGAGTATATGTGTTTAGAAAAAACCCAATACGCGTGCAATTATTTTTCAATTCGATCTTGTTAATACACCATATTGACCTTCAACTTTATATATTAGTTGACTTGCAAAATAACCACACAAACTCATGATTCAAGGCTAAACTAATGTTTCATAATTGTGATTTACTTCCGCTGCATCGTGCGGGTACACCACTAGTATATATATATATATATATATATATATATATATATATATATATATATATATGTGTGTGTGTGGGGGGGGGGTGTGTGACAACCATGATTAATGACGTGCACGTTTATAGAATATGATTTCTCATAGGAATTTTAAGAAGTTTTTGGTTTTGTAAAATGTTTGATTTGTTAAAGACCTTTTTTTCATAGTTGTTTTATTGTGTGTAGCCTTTTTGATAATTCTACATCTCTCAATCTCTTCTAACAATCCACCTCTCCCATAGTATGCCTTCCTCTCCGCCCATTCATCTACGTTTCTTTATCTCTATCATAAATAATTGGCTAAACATGTCTCGAAATATTTGAAGTTTTAAATAAGCACATCTTTCTATGTGTGTATATATATACACACACATGACAATTTAATAAAAATAAAATTTTATTCAGAATAGAATAAAAAAATACTATTTTCAAACTTTATTTTATATTAAATAACAATCATAAGTAACGAGATGATATCATGAGAATGAGATATTCATTAAATGTTTAAATGTGATGAGTTTAGTTATCCCAAATTAGTAAAAAGATGTGATGATATATTGACAAAAGAATATGAGTTTTTTAGTCAACTCTAATCTTAGGTTACCTTTTTTGGAAGAAAAACATCTCCAAATTCTTTTTAAGATTAATAATGATATGGATATTGGTTTGAGTCCTAAATAGCATTATAATAAAATTATTACCAATGTATCTTAAACTTATTTCGTTAACGATGTATCTCAAACTCTTCGTAACAACAAATAATTATCAATATATGCAAATTAACTACTTACAGAAATATATTCATTGTTTTATATTATATCTACTAATTATTAATTGATTAATGTTATATCTTAACTAGATATAATATGCTTTCTTACAAACTGTATCGCTACCGCACAACGTACGATTGTCACACTAGTGATGATAATAGCTTATTTTCCCGATCCGAACTTCCAAACATAAAACCAATATAATAAGTAACATATAATGTTTGATACTTTCGAGTTTTTAAATCAATGAAACCAACATTCATACCCAATTGGCGCTATTTTATTTGTAAAGTAGATGATATATTATATATATATATATATATATTATATATATATATAGATATAATAATATTGTATATATATATATATATATATATTGTATCTATACCAAAATAATAGTTGATGATGATTCTAATAAATTTATATCAAAAAGCCTTTTTTACTTGATCATTAACAACGAAAAGAAATTCCTTTCATCGTGTTAAAAACAAAAATTATATATTAAAATATGTATTTTTGTTTTTATTTATATTTATAGTCAAACTATACGACTTAAAGTATCAAGAAGATCATCGAATAAAGTTTTATGGATGGAAAATTATCGAATATGCAATAAACTATATTGAGTTGCATTCTAAATAGTTGATATTTGTTTTTTTCATTATTATTTATTACACTACTAAATGAAAGATTTTTACCTAAGAATTTTTCTTAGAAAATCTGTCGCTAAAGAGTGATTTATCACAAAAGTTTAGCTGGTGGATAATTCAAATCAGTGACATATTATTCAGGAATTCTTTGGATGATCCATTGTTTTTATCTCGAAAAATATCGGATTTTATCGAATCATTGGTATTCTCTGGTTGATCCATAGCCGGGAATTTTCTTAAATAATTTTTGTGAATAAAAGTTATTTGTTTTGTAGTGTTATAATTAAATTATTAATCAATATAACAAGTTGTATTGTAATAAAATATGTATGGGTATTTCATTTAAATGTCTATAGGTCAACCATCTGAACCGGATGTGAGAGAACAAATAGCTAAGAATAAATTAATAATATTTACAATATATAAATAAATAAATGCATTAAATACCCCAAAGGTGGTTGTTGTCGTCTTGGGAGAGTGCTACTACTATAAAAGGTGGTCACATTTCACACCAAACCTCATCAAAACAAAAAACCTTTCTTTCAAATCTTCATAACATTCCAACATTTCAATTCTAATTCTCACACCATGGGTGAAGCAGTTGTGTTCCCTCTCTCCAATGATTTCCATCAGCCAAACAACCTCGGAGCAGAAAACATCGTCAACGACCATGATGGTTCTTGGTTCGAAGAAGTAATCGATGATGACCTTAAGTGGTCTTTTGCTTTGAACAGGTTTAGCTTACTTCTTCTTTTCCCAAGCACTTGTCACAGGTAAGGGTTTACAAATACAGCCTCTCGACTCTTTAGCATCGAGGTAAGGCTTGTGTACATGGGTCGTACACCTCCCACCCCTTACTTGGACTTGATGGATTTGTTTTGTATGGTTTGGTTCATTTATACATCATTGTCTCATGTCATCTGATTTAATTGATCTTAAATGTCACCATCATTCTTCCTTAAAAGCGTGCTTGACAAAGGGATCAGTGAGTATCAAGACATAGTTCTTTTGGACACGAAGCGCTTCGGAAAGGTATTATGATCATTTTCGGGTTGATAAGCCAAGAAAAAAAAATTAAATGGTTGAATTTGATAAATAATATTTTGGAAGGGGGCCTAGTGATAACTAAGAAAATTGATGGACTTTATATGAAAATTTACAGGCGTTGGTAATTGATGGGAAGATGCAGAGTGCAGAAAGTGATGAGTTCATCTACCATGAATGCCTAATCCATCCTCCACTCTTATGTCACCCCACGTAATTTCTTCTACGATCCTTTCGTTTTTCATTTTATACATTTCCTACACTTTCGTTTGCAGAAACAACTTTTTATATATTACTAGCATGAGTATTTTGGTTAATGAACTACATCTTGATTGAACTACATCTTGATTATTACTTTAATATATTTTTAATACTAGAAGGGTTCTCGTGCAATGCATCGAGACACATCTACTTTCAGTGTTTTTTTTTTGTTCTTTTTTTATGTTGATATAATACGGTTTTATGTGATATTGAGAACGCGATAATGTTTTTATTTTTAAATAAAATATAAATTTAAAAATATTATAAAATTTAATATATATATATATATATATATGTGTGTGTGTATATATCAGTATCAAATTAACCTTTTTAAAAATTCTTGTTTTTGGTGTAATTTCCTTAATTCAAATTTTTTATTATCATTTAATTTAAGTTTAGTAACGAAGTAATTTAATTTAGGTTTAATAATATAATTTTTTATAAATATAATAAGTGAGTATTCTATTAGAACTCAATGATTATCCTAATTATATTTTAGATTGTTTATATTTAAATGAGATGTTTATCAAATATTTAATTATGTTTATCTGTTAATTATTTACACGAATTCAAGCATGAAGCTTTAATAAGTTGTACTTGTGCATAATTTATTTGTAATCTGAAATTTTAAGTAATATGCATAAATGTACAAACTTCATGCATAAAAAATAGTTTTTAAAAGTTTTTGTCAAATGCTATATAATATAGTATAGATTTATATTGATTGATTGAGAGATTTTGATAGATTACACACACACACATATATATATATATACATATATATATATATATGTGTGTGTGTGTCTATTGATTTTGATGATTTATTTTTTCAATTGCCATGTAATTAAAAATATGTATTTTTTTTATTCAAAAAATATGCATGTATTGATGTAAATAAAATTATATATAGTTTCATATATTAGTGGATTGAAATTTTCTTTATAGAATAATGAAAATGAAGTTAAAAAAAATGAAAGAGTTAACAATTAATATGTTGATTGTATATTAAAAATAAATCAAAATAAAAAAAATAGGATAGAAAGCTTTTCATTGAACAACTTTTTGGTTCTTATATATATATCTATACTATATTATAGTGCATTTGGCTAAAACTCTTAAAACTCTTAAACCCGTTCATCCCTA